TAGTTTGATCTTCCAGAATGAACTTCAAATCAAAAGAAACAGCTTAAGGGGAAAAAATGTTCCTAGCCACCTCCCAGAACTGATCCAGTTGTTTTTGAAGCACCAAAGAACTCTGTAAGTATTCAGGGGTCGAGCAGCTACTGACTATGTCAAGCACTGGAACCTATAAACTAGTCTGCTTCCCAAAGATGAGTATTTTATGCCATCCCACTCCAGAAAAAAAATGGATTCTTCATTGTACCTTTGTCATCTAGTTTCTCATTTCCTGGTCCATTTAATAGGTGGAATTTAGGTCATGGGATTATGCCCTAGTTTCCATAGAAGCAATAGAGGAAAATATGAACAAGTGAGATGGCCAAGTCTGACAAACTTCCATTCCTGGAGCCAGAAAGAAAGAACTGCTCCCAATGGTTGTTCTTTGACTTCCACACATGTGTCAAGACACACACACACACACACACACACACCAAAGCAAATATATGTAATAAAACTATTACAAATAGCATGTCGCATGCTTGTTAGTATTAAGAGTTCAGTACAATTCATATCACCTCATAAAATCATGTAATGTGGTACATGCTTGTTGTCCCAGAGCTCAGAGTATGACAGTCATCCTTTGGCTGCATAGTGAGTTTGAGGCCAAGCTACCATATATAAAACCTGTCCCCTAAAAAAGGGAAAGGAAAAAGCAAAGCAAAACAAAGGAATTGTAGGGTTTTCCTGCATAGATGAGCTTAAAAAGAAAAAACCCTAAATATAATTAATGTGTTTAGCACTTATTAAAATGACAAAAGAAAAAAAATGCTGCAGTGTAAAATGTTTACTCTTCTACTGCTATAAGTAGCCCCATCTCAGAAGCTGTATAGTCAAGCACATTATTCTCTGAACAGAAGGCATCCCCAGGTATATTTACTTTTAAGTCAAACTGGGGAGATTTTAATTTAAAATACTTGCTTCCCAATGCAGCTATTGATTCTAGAGCACTCTTGGAGATGTGGGCCTCAAGAGTCAGTAAACACAGAAGAGAAATAGTTGAGGAAATCTGCAAGAAGTGGGGCTAGTGCTAAAGAGAACAGGAACAGAAGACACTGCAGGTTTTCCTCTGTGGATCTGACAAATCCTAAGTATGACACAGGTACAACATGCTCCATTATTTCCAGCCATACTGTTGTCACCTAACATCCTACTTATAAGCACAACTACACCTGAAGCACCACACTTCAAGATGCAGGAAGACTTTTCTCACCATAGTGCAGCTGTGTGTGCCTCAGAGGAAAATACAGACAGTAAAATCCAGGCTAGCAGAGCTATGGCAACAATCAGTAGGAGGAGTGTGTGTGTGTGTGTGTGTGTGTGTGTGTGTGTGTGTGTGTCTGCGAGTGTGTGCGTGCATGTGTGCTATAGTGGAGTCAGATTTAATGCACCTGGGAAATCCAAATACATTTTCACAGTGATTACAACAACTTTAGTAGGTGGTGTGAAAGCAAATCCCAAAGCTATAAGAGGGAAAACTCAGACAACAGGCATCGGTAATGTAACAGGTGAACCTCTTACCAGGTAGCAGGATTTAGGCAACACTTGAGAAGAGCACAGATGGCAGGACCCCAAACTTGTATTATGAAAGCACCTTATGATGATTATATATGGTCATGGGAAGGGAAAAATATCCATTGGTAGAGTAAATTAACAGAATGAGACAGACTGAGATCCTGAGCAATTCACACCATAATCAGGAATAGGAAATTTTAATAATTATTTTAAAATAACAAGCATAAAACAGGAATATTTGGGGAAAACTGAGACTTTTGAGGAAACAATCATATTCTACCTACAGAATCCACAGGGAGCATTCATTCAGGCAGTCTGCACAGAAAATCTGATTTAGTAAAGATCATATTTCTTTCCTTTGACTTTAGTATAAACAAAGATAATTTAAAGATTAGACGCGCGCACACACACACACACACACACACACACACACACACACACACATCAAAACACACACACATCAAAATTCATCAGTTAGCCAGGGGCTACTATATTGTTCTAGCAACAATAACAGCTTCAAAGTCTCTCACAGAAAGTTGCTGCAGGAAATGGAAGGCTAAACCAGGAAATCGGCTTCAGTGATGGAATCAGCAGTAGGGCAGACACAGTGGTTTCAATCACAAGTTCCAGTTTCATTTAAGAAAGGGCTGGACTTGGTTATATAAAATGAAAAAAATTGAAAAAAAATTAACAAAATTAATAAAATCAATTTAAAAATCAAAAAAAAAGAAAGAAAGAAAGAAAGGGCAAGGCTGCTGCAGATGTTCACAGGGTTGCTACAGGATGTGTCCATGAGGATAAGTCAGAGGGTGTGGCATCAGTTAATTAGTAGTTTTGGAGATACGTAAGAGAAAAAATAGAAATCAGATGTTCATGACCAGTTGATTATGATGTCATATAAGAAATGATTAATTGCTTAAAGATTTCTTTTATGAAAATGTTTTCTACTGGACACATCCCCTGATCCGAAATGCAATCAAAGAAGGAAGTGTTTGCTGTTCCCAAATGTGGCTATCTCAGGACCAGACAGAATATCTAATCTGGACCTCAGCTTTATAAATGTTGTAGTGCTATACTCAAAAACTAGCAGACATGTATCTCCAGATGTGTGAGCAGCATGGCACTTCATGTAAATGATGCATGCTATTTCAGAGGTTCCTAATACTGATGGTGAAGGTTAACCCACCATGTCAGCTAGCAGTTCAATTTAGGATGCTCAGAAGGCCAAACAGCAACTGCATTACTTACAGAGAAGACAGAAGTAGAATGTGTGTTCTGTGTTTCACCACTGACTCTAACTCATTGAATATGAAATTCCATGCCTGCTCTCCCACACCTGTCCACAGTTTGTCTTCAAACTTAACACTAGTAGAAACTTAGAGGATTAGAAAGGCAGTATTTAAGTGGGAGGGTCAGCCAGACCTTAAGTTATTGATCATAGTGTCCTCAAACATATATGAGGACAAGATTGTGTCTGTTATACAGTATCTTCAGTCCCCCTCACAAAATGCTTGATTGGAAAGCAAGAAATACCTGATGGTTTGTATTCAATGAAAGAGTAATAAAAGACCATATCAACATAGAAAACATGTAATCCAGTTTATCCTAAGCTAGATGAAGAGTTAGAAAAAGAAAATGAAAGGGAGGGAATGCAGGAGGGACAGAGGAAGAAAGGAAGGAAGGAAGAAAGGAATGGAGGGAGGGAGGAAGGGAGGGAGGACCTGAAGGAAAATGCATATGTGAATGGGGAAAACAGCAGGCGAGTTAGCTCATATTTTGGAATGAAAAAGCAAACCCAGAAAAAGACTTTAGTTGTTAAACTTCTGTATGTTAGTCAAGAACCAAGGGAATACTAATAAGTAATGGGAATTAAGGATTAAAAGAGATGGAGACTTGCCCTAAAACACAAGAACCATTTTTAAAAAGATAACATTGGAAACTGAGGGACAATAACTTCTACACATAAGAAAAGATTAGTGCCAGCACATAGGTGAGCCAAGTGCTAAGAGTGCCTTGCAAATCACTACAGCAAAACTCTTTCAAGTAGGACCCCATCAAAGGGACCACCAACTCCCTTTCCCCTTTTCTCATCTTTTGAGTCAAGCAGCTGCTGAATGCTGCTGGCTTTACACTTCAAGGACAATCTCATCCACTAATCTTGAGCAGTCATTTTCCTATAGGAATTCAGGTAATGTTTAAATCAAAGTAAACATATTTAATGGGACACTATTTCTTCTACCTACTTTGAAATATATAGTTGTATCTAAGATGTATAATAGGTTATCATAGCTATAATGAAACTACTATTCAGAATACCCCTAGCCCACTTTGAATAGTGGCCATTCAAGAAATCTCCCTCTCAAGTCTCTGAGATGTGTACAAATGTCTATAATGAAGTCTACATATGAAGTCCAGAAGTAAAGAGACAGTACCTGTCTTATGCACACCCAAACAAGTATCAAATTATTGGGCTTTACAAATATCTAAATAGAACAGTCATGGAAAAACTATATAAATTGAAATCCTAACAATCTAGTTACACAAAAAGTCACACAAAAAATTTTAGAAAAATACAACAAATGTGATGAATATGATAAATGTCCTACCTTGATTACAATTGGATGAATAAATAAATCAGGGCAGTACACTGCATGGGATAAATTTATGTATTATATGTAAATTATAAGTGAAGTTAATTAAACAAATTTACTTCAAAAGATATTTTCTTCTAAAATTGAGATTTAAACCAAAAAGGGAGCTGAGAGTGAGAGTAGAAAAGAAAACTTATGCTAACATAACAGAGATTAGTGAAAGCACATGTCTTTTTGTACCACAAAGGAGCCTGGGTCTTCCAGCCTTGCATCAGTTCCCACTTCTTTGTACTTACCATGTCCCCAGAGAATCAGAAGGACCAAGCTATTCTATGTACTTCACATTTATACCTATCTTACCCTAGTATTCTAGTATTCCCATTATGATGGTCCTGTATTATTGTCATCTGTTTATTCATATGACAAAGTGTAACTCCTGACATGCAGGTGAATGTATTTAACACAGTGTGAATTTAAGAACAAGACAATGTCACAGAATGGCATATCCATTTTGTCATTTCCTATAAAGTTATAGAATATTATAAGAACTAAGTGCAAGAACGCTTGTAAAACATACCTGGTGTATAGTGAGCTCACAGAAGTTGTGCATAGTTATAATCTATGAGAAGTGTGGCCATGTACAAATGGTTTTGTTTTCTCAGTAATAATTGTCTTAAATAGTAGATAATGATTTCTTCTCTACCTACTCATTACCTTGCTATGAGACAAAGCATAAAGCAATTTGCAAACTCTCTACCATTGGGCAGAAACATCGCAGTAATCTATGATAATTATAATGGTTATGTGTCAGAATCTTTGTGGAACTTACTCTGTTAAACTTATTGTTTAATGTAGCATTACCTTCGCTGAAGTTTCAAACCATCCCACGAAACCATGCTCCTTGCAGAACTGGTCCATCTTGAGTCCATTGTTCATAAGCACATCCTTTCCCTGGTCACATTTGTTGGCCAACAAAACCACTGACACTGGCTTCCCATTAGGGAGAGTTAACTTTGAGTCCAAGTCATTTTTCCACTTTGCTACTGCTTCAAATGTGGCTGGCCTGGTGACATCAAAGACAATAAATGCTCCCATAGCTTCTCGGTAATAGACTCTTGTCATGTTTCCAAATCTTTCTTGACCTATCACCAAAATGAGACAGAGTTTAGAAAGTTATCAAAAGTAGAATCATAATTAGACACTACCCTAGAGATTCATGGGGTCTCCAAAATGAGCATATGATGCAATAAAGAGTTGTAGTACTAAGCTTTAAATAGTGGACAAATATACAATATACAATTATGCAGCTGTGTTATGCAATCTTTACAGCCAGAAGGAAATCTTAAAAAAAAAAAAAAATAGGGTTTTGTATCCTGGACCTGTGAGATGGTATGGTAGTTAAAGGTTCTTACTAATTAGCCTAAACTCATGTGTTCAATCCCCAGACCCTCCCATGGTAAATGGAGAAAACCAACTCCTACAGCTTATCCTCTGCCCTCCACAACTCTACTATAGTATCTGTGCTAGTTTATTTGTGTGTGTGTGTGTGTGTGTGTATGTGTGTTCACACACATGCATACAAAATGAGTAAATAACTGTAAAAAATTATGAAATAGTTATTGAGAAAGTACAGTGTAGTATGTAATATTCTGTAACTCTGTATAGTTACTCTGTAACTCTGTATACCTCAGTAGGTATTGGTGTGAATATTTATCCCTAGTGTACAAATGGATTTTGGGAGCCCATTCCCCATAGAGGGATACACTGTCAGCCTAGACACAGGGCCTAGTCCCTGCTCCAAATGATGTGACAGACTTTGATGATAGCCCATGGAAGGTCTCATCCTCCCTGGGGAGCAGAAGAGGGATAGGATGGGGGATCAGTGAGGGGCAAGGGAGAGTGGGAGGAAGAGGGAACCGGGATTGATATGTAAAATACTATTGTTTCTATTTAAAAAAAAAATAAAAAAAATAAAAACAATAGATCCTGTTCTTATAAGAGAACGAACTAAGGAAAACAGAAATGTATTTTGGTAGGTTTTTGGGTTTTTTTTTTTTTTTTTTTTTTTTTCCTCTCACAGAGAAGCAGCCAAACTAGCACTCCAGCCAAGTCACACTACCTATATGTACCCTGACAAATTCAGCTGCAGTTGCCTGGAAAGTGGAGTCATAGGCAACCAACAGTATAAGGGGTAGAGTAGAGAGAGACAGCTCAGGTTTCAGAATCCTGTGGGTAGCCATAGTTTTCAGTGAAAAGTGCCCCAAGTACAGCCAGCTTTGGAGATAGAGGAAGTGTGACACAGGGTTTTAAAGCCGAGAGGAACTCAACACTCTCACAGCCACTCCTGCCCATTGCTTGCATGAGCTTCAAAGCTCACAGGAAGTTGGAAGCAGAACTTAGTGTAGTGTCCTGATGGGTGCAATCCAGCTTCAAGCAGTACAGACAGCAGACAGCATCACAAGTGTGGAACCTGAGGTAGAAACTTCTAGCAATCCTCTTCCTATGGTATTCAGACAACTCCATTAGCAAGCAGGCCTCTCATACTCCTTCAGGACCTCAATCACAGGAAGCAAGAGTGAACAGGGGTCTGGAATCAGCCTACCTCCACCCCACCCCCTGTCATGTTCACACCTGTGACCACACCCATTTGGGCGTGGTGAATGCAACAGGTATGGGCAGAGTGTATATCTCATTCCATATTTGTTTTGTTATTGTTTTAACCTGGCTCTCAGTGTTTTGTTTTGTTTTTTAGTTTTTATGACTGTCCTTTCTCTATTCCTACTCTAAAATATTTTCTCTGGTAATTCTTTTAACTATGTTTCATTTAATTTCCTTCTCATTATTCTGTCTTTCCCACTCCCAATTCTTTCCTCGCCTCAGTCTTAAATACTGCTACCCTCACTTCTAAAAGCATTACAAAACTACAAAACATAATACCTTAACAAGTACCCTAGAGGTACTACCTTGGAACTCTATCAGGACTTAAGCAAGATAACAAATTATCTTCTTCTGAACATTAAGATTGAGATTGCTATTAAATCTGTGATTGTTGTTGATTTCCCCTCTAGTTCGCATTCTAGAACATAATTCTAAGTAAAGCCAACTCACTAGAGAACTAACATAAAAATAAAATGAAAATAAAAACTATGGAAAGCATAGGGAAAAATAAAAACTGAGAATACCTCCATTTTAACAGAAGCATGAACATAAATATATGAAACAATCTATTTTGACATTTCCACATGCTCCCAATGCCTTAGTACTAGAAACAAAACATAATGAGATTCAAGAAACACTAGAGGAGGATCTCAGATTTCTGCTTTTAAAAAGGATCAGTTACTACAAAGAGAGCTCAAGTAAAGAGATGAATGAAGTAAGGTAATCAGAATCTAGACAAGGAAGGTACTGAAGTAGATAAATTAGTAATTTGGAGAAGGAATTCAAATATCAAGTATTCGGAAGACAATTTAAGAAAGGATATTGAAACTTCAAAAAGAGAATGAAAGATGTTTTAGAAAAGAAAGAATAAATCAATCAAATAAAGAACAGTGGTAAGCATATCCAACAGATAATCACAAGGAGAAAATCCTATTCAGGGGCAAAGGACAAAGTTGAAAAAAATAACAAATTCAGACTTATGTAAAGATAAAATTAATGAGCATGACCAAAACTTAGTGCAGTGTCCTACATGTAGGATATGTTCAAGATACAGAATCTAAGAATCCATGAGGTAGAAAACGGATCTGGTAAGACCTAGAGGAATAGAAAATATATTCAATAAAGTTATAACAGAATATTTCCCGTACATAGAGAAATATTTAAATGCAAGAGGCATTTAGAACCTCCAAATAGACAGAACTAGAGATAAATCCTCTGCAACATACCTGTTAAAATGCCAGTTACAAAAACAAAAGCAAAAACATAAAACAAAAAACAAAACAAAACAAAAAACCCAAAAGAACAGTGAAAACTGGAAGTTAAAAGTATCAACTCATTACATAGAATAGCATCAGCTCTCACATCAACCTTAAATCCACTGCTATTCCTTCAGAATTGCTATCTAATATTATTATCATATGTTCATTGAGACATATAGATTTAGGGCCTGATGACTCTCATTGCCTAGGCCCTCCCCCATGTGTCTAGGATGAGAAAGTATCCCTCTATGTGGGATGGCTCCCAAAGTCTCATTGCATTCTATCTCTATTTGTTTGTTCGTTTGTTTTCAGACAAGGCTTCTTTGTGTAGCTTTGTAGATTGTCCTGGAATTCACTCCTAAGACAAAGCTGGCCTCGAACTCACAGTGATCTGCCTGCCTCTGCCTCCTGAATGCTATAATTAAAGGTGGGTGTCACCATTGCCCAGCTGTACACTGTGTTTTATTTGCAAATATATTTACAATATAGTTTGAATTATTAAAAAGAAAAACAATGAAAGCATGGGATACATGTTTTAAGTCCCCAAAGTAAAGTTAATAATGAAAAAAAAAAAATCTATCAAAGTAGCTATACACAAGAAAGTCACCTCTTAAAATTGGCAGACAATTAAAAACCATTTCAAGAGAAGCACAAATTAAGTCAATTATGACAGCCAAGCCAACAGGGCAAATTATTTTAAAAAGGGAAACTACATAATGAAAGAAGAAACATAGACTCATAAGTGAGCACACTAGCAATCATACAATTTGTTTCAGGAATAGATAAAATATGAGAATTGGTAAGGGATCAATCATGTACAACACAGTAAAAAAGAAAACCCCAAAGAATAGTGGAAGAACCAAGAGCCAAAGAAAACCATGGAAATATCAAATCCCTCTCAGTAACAACTTGACACGCAAGCAGACTCAACTCATCTATTGAATGAAATAGATCAACTGATGAATTAAAAACAATATTTAACTAATAAGCAATAATAAAATTCATTACTTTATATAGTATTTTTAAAGTTTACTAAAAAGAGCTAACTTTTTAAACAACCACATATATCTCATGTTTGCTACATTACATAATGCCAATAGGGAATATTTGAATCAACACAGGTCAGTGTATTGGGCAACAGTGCTTTGAACACTTGTTAGTTGATGATGTTACCATTAAAAATCTATGTTCTTGGGAGTTTATATTCTAATGGAAAGACAGATAAACAATTAAAATATGTAGTATTGTAAAGAGACACCCAAAATCTATTTCTGTCAAACATAATAAAAACTAGTTTGCATATCCTGTATGTTTATTGCCCACCAAAAATATAATTCATACAAATGACCATGAAAATGTAATTATTATGCTCACTGTTTAGTTTTGTGTCATTATTCATGTTAGGTAGAGATTAAGATCAAATCCAGGATCTCAGAGTGTTAGTAAACACACTACCACAGGGCTACACTCCCAGATATTATCCCTAGTTTAAAGTGAGAAAATTGAGAAATGGAATGTCTGTGTAGTTTCCTCAAATAAAGCAGATGGTAAGCTTACAAGCCCAGAATTCAAACCTCACCTGCCTGAGTCCAAAGCCATGTTATTCACTAACATCAAGTACTTTCAGCTTCTAAACTACACTTTTGAGTTAACTTGACTCCATATTTATGGTATAGAAAGAGCCAACTCAATCCAATTTTACAGATACTTGCTAGTCTCCAGTCTATGTCCCTACAATATAACAATGAACCAAACAGTCTCTCCATTAAGGAATCTACAATCCATTAGATAAAGGAAAAACCATGATATTGAATAAAATTGTTTCCTTTTAAAGAATAGAGATTGTTTGGGAATTAATTGCAGTCAGCCAGAAGCAGCTTTGCCCTGAAAATGTTCCTGATGAAGACTGACAAGTTTCTTATACGGTCTCAATTAAGCCCACCTCATCTCAAAAGTGTCTCTAAGAATATGAAGACCAATTTTTTTAAAGATAGAATGTATTAACATAGACTAAGCACCCAACAGTCAGTTTCTTTACTATGTCAAAAACATAATACACATATTATATAGGTCCTAAAAACACAGTTTTGGAACAGAATTTAAGACAAAACACTATTATAAGTACTTCAGCAGAGATTAAAAAGTAAGCAACATCCTATTTCCTCTAATTAGATCCACTAGTAATTTCTGTAGGTAGGAACTAACAAAGGATGGATTTTTATTTT